TCCTTTCTTTCTTTCTTTCTTTCTTTCTTTCTTTCTTTCTTTCAATATACAGTACCCGTTAGTGCCACAGCACTACTCTGGGTGGTTCATGCAAGATACACAATCAAATAGTCACACAATATGACAAAACCATAAACAATCTAAAAATATCAAAACAGGGCATCAGAGCACTAATAAAACTGCATAAAACAGAATTTTTTTAACAAGGATACAGATAACAAATCACTGAGTACCTCAGCCAGGTTGGCTTGGATGGATGGGAATTGCATGTCAGGAATTTCTGGAGGACTTCTTTGGTCCCTCCCTGTCCTACAGCAACACTCTTTTGGGGGCTTTGTGGATAATTAAAATGGCGGAAGAGTTGCAGCTGTGCCCTGAGCATGGCGACTGTGCTGCTGTCCTTCTGTAGCAATTGACACTGCTACAGAAGGGGGCACCCCATGGATCTAGGGGGCTTGCAAGTGGAGCTGGCCCAGCTCTGGCTCAATCATCTATCCAGGGAAATACCTCCATATGTTGTGTTGAAGTATCTACATTTTTCCTATTTGAAAGCCGTACATTATGTTTTCTCTCGTCTTTTCCTCCTTCTTAGACTGCCATTGAGAAATTAAGTGAAGATTACCTCAATATGTTTCATTTCCCTCCTCTGATAAAGGTAATGGTTGATTTATTTAAGCAGTTGAAATATGAGTCACACTCATAGAGGGAAATATTCTATAAAATTTTACATGACGGATTTGAAACAGGCATTTTCCTTGATTCTTAAGTGAGGTGCTGTGCCAGGCTTGGAACGGAACCTTCCCCCCCCACACACACACACACCCCTCCAAGAAAGCCTCTCCTGGAGGCGGAGGGAGTTTGCTGTGAAGAGCCTCTTACTGGACTCTAGGAGAGATTGGGGAATTATCCAAAAGAGGGTGGAGGAATTCTTGCAATGCTTAGACAAGGCCCAGAGTTTCAGTGAATCCCCTCTTTCTGGGGAAATCTGGTTTGGGAACCTCTTCTGTTTGTATGAAAATGCACTCCATCCAAAGTGAAGGGAGCGCTCAAATTCTGCATGCACTCTGCTGTCGCTTCATTTCGCAACGCAAAAGGGACTGCCCAAAGGGGAAGTGGTTCTCTGCAGCTGAACCAGGCTTTCCTTATTTAAACGAGACAACCCTCACCCCCCCCCTTTTTTTGGCTCTCTCCCTTCAGAGAGTTGCTTTTTCATGACACAAAGTATGGTCAAAGGGCCAGGGCCAGCACACACCCCTCTGCATGTGTGGTATAGCCTTGCTTTCCTAAGGACTGAATAGGACTATAACATTTGGCAATTTTCAGAAGGGTAGCCATCTTAGGGCATGGCTACATGGCTTCGCTGGAAGGGGTTGAACAGAGTTGCTAGACAGTCCAGTATGTCACTTGACGTGATCCTCACATCCAAATGGTTTTTAGACCTCAGGCAACCCTATTTGGTTCACAGCAGCCTGTGGTCAGTTTTCCAGTACAGTATTGTGAAGTGGTTTCACAGGAGACACACTTTGTGGTATAAGCTGGTAGAACACTTCCTTGGCTCCACAGAGGAGCTGAGGGAGTGATTTTTTTTTAAAAAAAAAAGCATATTAACACAGCACATCTCTGTTACATCGCTTTTTTTTAAAGGAAGTTAAATGGAAAATGCCCTCCACAGAGCTGAGGAAATGTTTAATTTGCCAGTGTCCTGACATGGTTCTCTTCTTAAGCTACTTCACAATATTGACAAGGGGGAAAGCCCACTTTTGGTTCATTTCCAGCAATCGCACACGCTCGAACTGAAGCAAACCGGAGTGATCCTGCCTGCGTCGAAAAAGGAGAAGCGCCTGGCAGGGCCTCAGAAAGCTACGGGCAGGACTCGTTTGCTCCAGGAGATACATCATCTGATGGCTGGCTTTAGAAGTGAACCAGCCCTTCTCTGCAGCGGACCAAACGACAGTCTAAATGCCCATTTAGTCACCCCCTTTGTCTGTCTGAGCAAAAAGGAAAAACACACATATCGTGATAAGCCTTTCAAGATGACCAATTTAGCTCATTAAAATTATTTTCCTGGATTAGCCAAATGGGGCAGTGGGTTCATATGGCCCTTTGGAGTGAGTGGCTTTGAGTCGGAAGTGGAGTATGGGAGCTGCAGTGAAGAGGAAAGCAAAGATCAGTCAAATAAGCTTTTTTCTTTCTTTCTTGGGCAACACTGAATTTCATCACTGGTGTTTTGCGGGCTATTGGCAATCTGACTTTATGAGCCACAACCCACATATAGAGGGTGCCGCTTCTTTTGCTCATCATTGTTAGTCCAGGCAGATGAGTCATGTTGAGATGAATGGAATAGTTGCTTCATGGCAAGAGAGGGACAGGCTAAATCCCGGCAGCAGAAACTTCCTGCGGCCTTTCTTGTTTGGCCATAGGCTCGGGTCATGTCCGAAAACTCCCTCACCAGTTCCTGTACACCCCATTTTTCAAAACGTGAACAGCGCAGAATTCCTCTTCATGCGCTTCAAACTTAAGTGCAGATGGAATTGTTTAATTATATTGATAATGGTGAATTATTGAACCCGCAATGGTCAGGGAAATAGCCCTGTGCTGAAGCTAAAGGGAAACCAAGGTGGCAGAAAATTACTCATCCTTTCTTTCTGTGGTAGGATGCTGCCAGTGAAAACGAATCGATTGAAGAAAAAGTGGTGAACCTTGAGCTAGTTTTTGGCTATCATTTAAAGCCTGGAAATGGCCCAAAGGTAAATGTATGATTTATGCAATTTTATTCTTTGCTTCACTGACAAGAAAACTCCCCCATGGGAAAAAAATCACTATTTGCATAAGTGTTTTTTGGGGGGGATGACGCATTTATGACTCATCACACCATTCTTTTTTCTTTTCCCCACTTTTGGTGAGGATGTTATAATAAGAGTGCCAGAGGAATGTGAAAAACCAACCGCATCAACACAACCGAGACCATCTGTGTGGCTTGTCACAGTCTGCTGTACTCATAAGAGCAGACCTCACTACTAAATGGTCCCTTTTTTCAAAACTTCTCTGCATGAGGAAAACTAGCATGTCAGACAGAAGGTTCTAGCTGAGCCTTCTCTGCGAAGGGCTGATGTATCCAAGGTGGTATTTCTAATCTATTCTAACACGAGATTTATAACTGAGTGGGAGTCTACTTCCTGTTTTGCATTACACTTGGGTGATGCCGGAAAGAAACCCTTGTTTCCCATATTAAACATCCAACTCTATGTAAACAGTGTAGAATTAAGTGGAGTCAGACTTGTTTAATTATTTTCTAGATGGGATAGCCTTGCCCATAACCTAAACAATTTGAAAATGTGAATATGAGCAACATTAAATGGGACTGCTTGCCATCACTTCCTGTTGCTACTTCCCTTCCTTTGGGTTAAGATCCTAGTTTAAATAAGATACAAATGCCTGTTGGATTTGAAGCAGGGAACTGTAATGCAATGCCAGCGATAGAGCTGGTCCTACCATTAGGCAGAGTAACTCAGCTGCCTCAGGTAACAGATGGTCAAAGGCAGCTGCCTCTTAGTTATCTCTCCAGTACACAACAGGGAGGAACTGCCAGGAGGAACTACGCATGCTGCGTGACTTGTTCTGCACTCCCTAAGCTAGCCTCCTTCCCTCCGTTGTCATGGAGGGGGCTGGGGTGGGAAATCCTGTCCTTTTGTCTGAAGGAGTAAAGTGTCCTGGGCTGACCCTCGTGATAGACTAACTGAGATCTTAAACCAACTTTCAATTGCAGTTTGAGATGCCTCAGTTTTCCCAATTAGCAAAGTGACATTAAACCACGTTTCCTTGTTTTAGAAATAACAATAACACTCCTCGTAAAATAACGATGGAGGGATAAGAAGGGAATTGCCTATATAGTTCTTCCCCTTAGTTGCACGTCCGTCGTCCAAACCAGGCCATAGTTTGCTGGCAATCCAAAAACATTCACAATTGTGCAGAAATCTGACCTGTCTCTACTGTACTCTTCACTTCTGAGAAAGATGAGCTGAGAATAAGAACGGAGAGAACTGTATTAGTTCACGTCTGTGATTTTTCAAGAGTGTGCCTACCATTTCTCAGTGTTGGAAATCTGGATCATGACTTGCAGTTCTCTTCGAGCGGCTGCCAAATGTAGTGCACTGTGTGCTCAGAAGATACAAGAAAGACAAACCCCCCTCAACTTTCTTCAGCAGTAGATTATCATCTATGGGAAACCACACCTTCTGGTGGAAAGACGGAGTTAACATTTGTCATGCCTAACGGGGACCCAATGGCTGAGCGTGGCACCTTGATCTCAAAACACAGATGGAACATCAGTTTAGTCTTGCAGAGAAATTGAGCCACTTTGCCTCAGCAAGCACAGTTCTCTCCCATAGGTTTAAATGGATCCTTTGCTTACATTTTTATAGACTTAGTGATTTTAAAAAATGGCATTTCTAAAGGATTTCACTGGGATCTAAAGGATCTAAAAGGATATCTTTGGACAGTGATCACCAGGATGAGCACTGTTCAATGATTTGTCTCATCCTTTTAAACCCAATGTAGTCAAGCATTTCCAGCTTAAGCCTCACATGGGCTGAATCCACCACTATCATGGCAAAGTACCAGTCCTGTGGAATTGCAGGGATATAAATCAGTGGCCAGACCCCTACTGTGAAATACAACAGAATCACACAAGTGGTTTTCACAAATTTTCTGGCCATCCATTGCACACCTGGACATACCACTGAGCACATGACTGAGTCTGTACCCCAGGTATGTTTGTGTGCACTGCAGACCGTAGAATGGATCATGCATGCTAGTTATGCACTTTGGAGGATTTGCTGTTCAAACTCAATAGGACTCTGACCGGCATGTATAATGTTTTAGGACTGAGGCACAAGGTTTAATCTTCTGTTTAATTTATCCTCTTGCTCTGTGTTAATTAACATTTTGGTGAACTGATTCTGAGCAGTTCACTGGGGCATAGAAAGCTATATTATACAGTACTCAGTTGTACGTTAGTCTCTGTTAGCATGTCAGGCAAAAACAAAACATTTTTTTAAAAAAGACTAAAATGTTGTGGCACCTTAAAGACTTACTGCTATATTGAAATGTGAGCTTTCTTGGACAAGTCCACTTCCACAGTCTTCCCCTGTACCTCGCTTTGAAACTCTCTCTTCCACACATTACAAAGGACACTGAATAAGGAAAGAGAGTTAAGTTTAGCTCCTGATCTTTGTTTTAGTAAATAAAATAAATTTAAGAACACAAAGCTTTAAAGAAATAATTTACTTTTTTGGGTGCGGTCACACTGGCAATAAGAACCACTCTTGAATCAGCTTTTTTATTAAATAAAATTGGTTTAAAAAATCTTGGCTACATAACGCAAACAGAAGCACAGATTATTTTGCCCAGGAATTTTGGTGTGTTTTCTTTTTCTTTTTTAAATCAAAAGTGGGTTATTTTACTATGCCTACACAGGCTCATTTATTTTAGCATGGATGTAAAATCACTTTATATGTAAGTATTCTGGCCTATGTGAATGCCTCTGCTGACATAAACTGCCCTGTGATGGCTGCTTCCCACAGCCACTCTTACTCCTGCTGTAGGTTATTTTTAATTTTTTAAAAAACTTATTTCCTAGTGGGATATCAGATGGGAAAGAGGAGATGGGGCTGGTCTGGTCAGAGGGGAAGTGAGTGAAAATTTATGAGCCAGCAGGGAGAGAAAGGTGGAAATCATTCCCTCCTTCACAAAGTGAAACCAAGCATCTAGGCTTGTGAAGGAGGAGGGAATGATTTCGCCACCCCAAGTGGGAAGTGACTTTCCCTGTCAGAGCTGCGAGGAAAGATGCCACTGGCAACAAAGCACTAAAGTGCTGGCTTTAAAAAAAAATGGATAGGCAGTTGCCCCAGGAGATGCACATAGGGATTCTAAGATCATGTGATCACTACGTGACTATAAATTCCTTTTGTTAATACTGCGGCACATTTCGAGGTATCTCATCAGTGTAACCAAGTTCTTTCTAAATCTCACTTCTGCCTATCTGAAAGTAAGATGCAGAATGTTCAGTGGAGATTTATATGAGGTGGAACATGGGGGACAAGGGAGGGAGGAGGCACTGGTTAACAGGGGGAAGGGATGGATGGAGGTAATGCGGGAAGGCAAAAGGAGAAAGAGGCTTGGGGAGTGGAAGTGGCAGCCATGATGTGGCGGGGATGGCGGCGGCGGCAAGAGCACAGAAAGTAAGACGAAAATAGAAATATTGTTTTGCTGTTCCACGTGAAAGAAGGCTATTATAATTTGCTGTGCTATTTTTAATGCAACATCATTACAGCATCACTAATAGCCAGAATCCTGCTGGTGCTTGTTTCAGGTCTGTGTAACCTGCCGTGGATAACTGCCGCTCACCGGCAAGGTGCTGGAACATGTTTCGGCCATGTGCCTGGTCAGGCGCTTGACTGCACAAACAAGACATGGCCGGGCACCTCAGCAATTAGCCACATCAAGTTCAGCAGAGCTTACAAGGACCCATCAGGGCTCCAGCTGATGAAATTGGATTGTGCTAATTGTGATGTGTTGCTTGCATGCTGTGTGAATATTTACAGCTTGCAATCTTAACCACACATGTGAAAACATGCGTTGTCAAAATAACGTTGCGGTGGCACCAGGGCATTATATTTGGTCATTTTGATGGAGCTGTTGTCTACGGCATCCTAAAAGCTTAGAGCACAAATCCTCAGCCGGTGTTTGCAGGATTTTGCAGTCATAGCTTAGGCATGTCTGAATGAACTCTGCCTGATACACCTGTCCAACAGTTTTTAATATAATAACGTATCTGGGTCCAGTGTAAACCGGAAGCTTTAAAACACTTCTAGGAGACAGAATAAAATAAATTCATACCTAGCTTTAATGACTACTAAGAAATACAGAAACCTGGCCAGGGTGGGAAGGAGAAGCCAGGTTGTTCGACCTGTGGTGCTAGAGCAGTGCTTTAGGGAAACCATGATTCACCCAAAAGACAAAGAAATGGATTCTTGATCAAATGATCAAAATCTAGCTAGATCAAATCAAGTGCCATAGTTTGCATGAATTAGTTCCAACACCAACATCATCAGGTTTCTTCATTGTCCAGCCTTTGTATCTGTACGCTGCAATCAGGAATAAGATTGTGTGGGTGATCTTGGCTTTGGTTGACAGTAACACCTCTTTACACAACTGTATCTTTCCTAAGTCCTTCGTAGTTGGATTTTTACTTCTCTGTCTTCTGGTTTCTTGACTATTGTTGACTGATGATTTACCTGAGGCAGTGATTTCCCAACCTTGGGTGATGCAGGTGTTCTTGGACTGCAGTTCCCAGAAACCCCTGGCCAGCACAGTTGGTGGTGAAGGCTTCTGGGAATTGCTGTCCAAGAACACCTGGGTGACCGAAGGCTGGGAGCCACTGACCTAAGGCGGTCATTCTCAGTGAGGCCCATATAGCCCCCTGGGAGGGGGGGGAACCCTGGCACATTTGAAGGGGGCCAAAGACTGAAAACAAATCTCCACACACCACCTTATAAGGTTCGTTATACAACTTACACAATCCTGATTGAGTCTATGTTTCTTTCGTATTGTGTTTATGGAGGTGGCCCCCCCCAAAAAAGGTTGAGAATGGCTATCCTAAGGTATAGAATTTTTTTTTTAAAGGAAGCGTCACATTTGGACATATAAAGCTAGGAAAAGTTGCAGGACGCAACAAAAGAGGAACCTG